GCGGCCGCTTGAATCATTGCCGTTGTTCAAGCTTCAATCAGCGCGAGGGAGTTGACTTCTTTCAGACCTTCGCTCCGACCCCAAAGATGACTACACTTCGGGTGTTACTCCACGTAGCAGCACAGCGAGACTACGAGCTCGACTCCCTCGACTTCTCCACTGCCTTTCTCCAGGGACGACTGCACATGGAGATCTGGCTGCGAATTCCTTCTGGTTTCACTGGTACTTTCCCTCCTGGGACCCAGTGGAGCTTGAGGCGACCAGTCTACGGTCTCCGCCAGTCACCCCATGAGTGGCACGACACTCTTCGCACCACGCTTCGTGATCTAGGGTTTCGCCCTTCCTCTGCTGACCCATCACTCTTTGTTCGTGCCGGCTCCACTCCTTTCTTTATACTCGTCTACATCGACGACTTGGTCTTTGCTACACCAGACAGGGCAGCTCTGGTTGAGATGAAGTCCGAACTGCAGAAGAGACACACGTGCACTGACCTTTGTGAACTGCACCACTACCTTGGCCTGCAGATCACCAGGGACAGAGCCGCTCGCACCATCACGTTGACGCAGTCACACATGGTGCAGCAGGTCCTTCAGCGGTTCGGGCTTCAGCACTCCACCACACAGCCCACTCCTCTTGCTATAAACCACAGACTCACCGGCCCCTTCCCCGACGAGCCCTTTGAGCCAAGTGGTCCCTACCCAGAGCTTGTTGGCTGCCTCATGTACCTGATGACCTATACTCGCCCGGACCTCGCCTACCCTCTTAGTGTCCTCTCTCGCTTTGTTGGACTTGGGAGGCACCGTCCTGTTCACTGGACGGCTGTCGTGCGGGTGGCGAAGTACCTGGCGACTACATCAGGCATGGGGCTTGTGCTTGGAGGGACTCGGCCAGTTGAGTTGACTGGCCTCTGTGACTCTTCTTACGCTGACGACGTGGAGACTCAGCGCTCGACCCAGGGTTACTGTTTCAGCCTGGGAGCTGGGGCTGTGTCGTGGAGGTCCACTCGGTCGTCGTCTGTGGCTTCATCTAGCGCAAAGGCAGAGATCTACGCCGGTGCTATGGCTGCTCAGGAGCTTCACTGGTTGACCTTCTTGCTCACCGACCTTGGTGAGCGGCCTCGCACTGCTCCGACCTTGTTCGCTGACAACAAGGCCATGATTCTCTTGTGTCGCGATCCTCGACCGGAGACCAGCGTGAAGCACATCGACGTTCGGTACTTCCTCCTACGCGAGCTGCAGCGTCGTGGCCGGGTGCGCCTGGACTTTGTGGCCTCGGAGGCCAACACCGCAGACCTCTTAACCAAGGCCTTGGCGCCTGGTGATCACCACCGGTTCTGTGTACAGTTAGGGCTTGTTGACTCTGTTGCTCGTCTGTCGTAGCCTTGCTCTGCTTGAACTTGCACATATATATCTTGTAACCTCTTGGACTGGCCTTGTGGCCGTTTGTATGTGCTCAGAATGCGTGGTGACGTCGTGATCCACCCTGAGCTTTGCTTTGCTGCTTGCTTTGACTGGTCTTGTGACCGTTTGGTGAGCTGCTTGCTTTGATGCCCCTCACTTAGCCTATGGGGGTGTGTCAAATGTTGTTTTTTGCTGTAGGCAACAGTGAGGTGCTCTTTAGTGAGTACAACAGTTTTAGGGTTTCCTATTTGTACCCCTTGCTTTGCTAAACACAATCATTCCGTTGCACTCCGTTCTTGAGAATGCAAGGCGACATTGTTACAAAAAGCTTCACTTGTTGAATAAATTGTAACATGAAGCACTCCATCCTGCATACTCAACTGTACAAGCACTCTACATACAAGGGTATGAACAATCTCAAGCAGTGGCTTCCCTGGGTACCTACCTCAACACATGGCTTCACAAACATGGCCCTCGGCACTCCATCTGCCCATTTGCTCCCTGCATTCCTCCTTGCTGCTCCGTGCAAGCAGCATCCCTTGCACTGGCACTGGCACGGGTCAGTCAAACCCCCCTGTGGCATGACAAGACACCACTCCACTCGCAGGGGGGCAGTGAAGAGGCAGGGTCTGCACTTCAAGGAGACACGAGAGTAAAACCTGCAAGCAACTATGTGCAACACAGCGACACATCCAAGCCTAGTGTGTGAGGGGGAGAAGGGGGAGAAAGGGGCGGGCGTGGGTGAAGAAGGGGGAGGTAGTGGGTAGGGAAGTGGAGCCGGTGGGTAGGAGCGCTGGAAAAGAGGATGGGGCTGCAATCGAGCGGCATGGTGTCGAGCGGGCAGTAACGGCACTTGAAAGGGCAGCAGGGTGGTCAAGGGAGCAGGGTTGAAGCACCCTAAAACTGGATGGGGCGGCAGTCAAGCGGCGTGGTTTCCAGCGGGCAGTAGGGGCACTTGAAGGGGCGCGTGGCGCCCTTGGCGAGCTTCAGCACGGAGGCACGGCACACAACGTGTCCGCAGGGCAGCAGCACGGGCGGGTTGTCGGGGTGGGAGGCGGGCTCACGGGAGACAGGGCAGGCGAAGATGGAGTGGAAGTGGAAGGCGCGCGGCAGCTCGATCTCCACTGGCAGCTGCTCCATGCCCTGCCAGTCCCGCGCCACCCTCCTGCTGCCGCCCGTGGCACCAGCAGCAGAGGTGCCAGGTGCGGTGGGAATGCTAGCAGCAGTGCCAGCAGTGGTAGCAGTGGTGGTGGTGCTCCCGCCTGCCCGGCTGATCCCTCCTCCGATTCCGCTGCTGTGGTTCAGCAGGGCGGCGAGCTTTGTCAGCATTGGGAGGGCCTCGCCGCCCGCAGCCACCACGACAGCCAATGGGCTTTCGGCGGATTCGAGGCACTCGACGGCGCAGTAGTCTGCGGTGAACCGGGCGGCGATCTGATCCCAGTGGGCGGCAGTGAGTGGCAGGAGGTCGGCATATGGGGACAAATTCAGCCGGCCAACCCACAGGAGAGCGCACATGAGGCGCTGGATATCGGGGAGATGGGTGGTGGCGAACGGCGGGAAATGCTGACGCGCGTACAGGAGGGCTGGCGAGCTGACAGGTCGTGATTGGCAGCTGCTGTCATCACTGGTAGGATCAGACATGGAAAACGAACCTTCCTTCTGTTGTTGCTGTTGCTTCCATATAAGCTGTTTCTGCTGCTCCTGTAGAAGATTCAGAAACTGCAGTCGATGGATTTCAAACTCCAGAGAGCTTGTCTTCAGCCCGCCAACCACCGCCTTCCCTCCCCCTTCCCCCCCTCCCACCTTCACGTCTGGAAACCCCCCAGCAACTTCCCTCTGTAGCTCCTCCCGATGCTGCGCCGCCCAAGCCAGCGCCGGACCTAGATCCTTGGCTCGGATGGCGTGCAGAATAGCGTGCATGGCGCCGTACCTGCGCCGGTGCTCCTGCAGGCTCACTCCCTCGCCCACTCCCCCCACTCCGCCCCTCCCCTCCCCCCCTGCCACTGCTGCTGCGGCCCCCTGCGCGCCCAATACTCCCCCATCTTTTCCCCTCGCCTCTCCCCCCGCCCTGTCCCCCGCGCTCCCTCCCCCAGCGCCCCCTCCCACAGCGCCACTGCCAGAGGCCATTCTTCTCCGCGCTGACCATGACAGGCGCGCCATTCCGCCCCGCCCAGCCACGCTTTCCCCCCACAGACCCCCACCCCTCTCCCCCGCAACCCCACCCACACTGCCGCTCCCCGCCCCGCCGCTGCTCCCCGTTTCTACGTCCGCCTCCGCCCCTGCGTCCCTCGCTACCTCCATCCGCTCGTCCCGCTTCCCCTCCTCCTCCATCGCCTCCCCCTCCTCCCCATCCTCCTCCCCGTCCCGCACCTCCCCTTCCTCCGCTTCCTCCCCACCCTCCCCTTCCGCCCCTCCCCCCGCGTCCCCCAGCCCCGCCTCCGCCACGAGCGCGTCCCCCACGGCGAACAACCCTTGGCGGAACAGATGCTTCGCGATCTCGCGGTTCACTCTAACGGGGTCGAACTGTACGGCCTCTCTATAAGCACCTCCGATATCAGCAACGAACGTGCCCTTCTCTTTCTCCCGCTCCACCGCCTTGCTCAGCCGCGCCACTGCCCCGTGCAGTTCTCGATGCAGCGCTGCGATCTCCTTTTCCGGACCTAGGCTGCCGAGCCTGGACAGAAGGCTCGACACAGCGGCTCGGCAGCCAGGGTTGCTGTTGAGAGTAGCGCTGGGGAGGCTAGACTTGGCGGCGTCCGTTGCCGCATCAGCACTCGTATCAACCACAATTTCCCCCTTTTCCCCCCGTTCCGCTACTCCCCCCGCGCGTTCCGCCGCTTCCGCCTGCAGCTCCGCCTGAAGCGCCGCCTGCGTCTGCTCCAGCGCCTGCTGCACCTTGTCGAGCAGCGCGAGCTCTTTAGCGCGTACGGCGCCGTGCCTCTTAACGAGGCGCGAGAGGGCGTCCTCGATAGTGCTGACGTCCATCATGACGTAAGACGATAGACGACAGGCGAAGCTGCCTGGAGACAGGCGACAGGCAAACGCGAGATGTTGAGAGAGCGAGTCGATATCCTGTCGATCCGCGACGATGGACGCTTCGTGCGCAGAGCGGCAGCCAATAGGCGATCGACGACGGCGAAATACGAAGCACGGGACGGACAGCGTTACGTTAGTAAAAAGAAGTGGCGACGCCTCAGGCTGCTAGATGGGGTGCGGATGTGGCTTGCCCAGATTCTGCTAGTTTGATTATCCTGCACTCTCGTATTGTCAACTTGATTTACAAAGCAGCTGATTTGAATGTACAAAGCGGGGTCCTCGATATTGAGGAGTTGCAAACTTCCACCCTACACAACTTGCGCTCCTCCTCCCCACCTCGTCTGTCTGCGCCTTCCACAAGCGTTGCTGTCCGCGCTGGTGCGGCTAGTTTTCCCAAACCATTGGCATCGCTGTCCCGAGTCGCGAGATTTATGCGCACTATTTAGCGTGGCGCGCATATGTAGGTAGTCGATAGTGTTACAGTCGCGCGGCCCGTCGCATCGACCGTCGCTGCGACCGTCGCATCCACCGTCGCATCGGTCGTCGCAGCAGCCGTCGCACGCCATGGACCGGAAGTTCGAGTTCCGGATAAAGGCGCTGGCGGTGGTGGCGACGGCAGCGGCGGGAGTGCTGACGCTGTACGCCGATTACGGCGACTATGGCGGCAAGAAGACCGTGCTCGATGATGTGAGTGGCGCTTCGGCCGCCCCAGACCTCCTTGTTTAGAGGTGACTCGATAACACAGGATATACAGAGGGGGTTCCGCAGTCCCCTACTAGCGGCGGTGTCGCTGTGGTGTACGTATATGTACCTATGATAGTCGTTGGTCGCCGTCGGTCGCCGTCGGTCGTCGTCCGTCGTCGTTGGGTATGCTGGTGGAGCTCCACGGACGTCGCGTCAGCACGACTGTAGGCGCCGCGGCACGAACTGTGAGTGGTTCAGCTGCACGAGGCACCTCCTGCGGCACGGCATGGCATGGCATGGCATGGCATGGCATGGCATGGCATGGCATGGCATGGCATGGCATGGCGTGGCGTGGCGTGGCGTGGCATGGCATGGCATGGCATGGCATGGCATGGCATGGCATGGCATGGCATGGCATGGCATGGCGTGGCGTGGCGTGGCATGGCATGGCATGGCATGGGGACTTTGCACTACCCGGCGAGCGTCACGGCTGGGGGTCAAGCGTGAGGAGAGGCGGATGGCACCGTCTCAGGTGGCCATGCGAACCCTTTCGTGCATGACCTTGCTGCATGCTCGCCTCCCTCGCCCCTTCACTCCCGTCCCAAAACTCGCTCTTTGAACCCTCGCCCCTTCATTTCCCCTCCATTTCCCCCCACCCACCCCTCCGTTCCGTCACAGCCGTTCCTTCCAGCTGTGCGGCCATCAGAGCGTTCTTGCCACACCATACTCTCCTGCCGCTCCCCAAGCCTCTTTTCGTCCCACCTCCTCCCCCAGCCTCTTTTCGTCCCACCTCCTCCCCCAGCCTCTTTTCGTCCCACCTCCTCCCCCAGCCTCTTTTCGTCCCACCTCCTCCCCCAGCCTCTTTTCGTCCCACCTCCTCCCCCAGCCTCTTTTCGTCCCACCTCCTCCCCCAGCCTCTTTTCGTCCCACCTCCTCCCCCAGCCTCTTTTCGTCCCACCTCCTCCCCCAGCCTCTTTTCGTCCCACCTCCTCCCCCAGCCTCTTTTCGTCCCACCTCCTCCCCCAGCCTCTTTTCGTCCCACCTCCTCCCCCAGCCTCTTTTCGTCCCACCTCCTCCCCCAGCCTCTTTTCGTCCCACCTCCTCCCCCAGCCTCTTTTCGTCCCACCTCCTCCCCCAGCCTCTTTTCGTCCCACCTCCTCCCCCAGCCTCTTTTCGTCCCACCTCCTCCCCCAGCCTCTTTTCGTCCCACCTCCTCCCCAGCCTCTTTTCGTCCCACCTCCTCCCCAAGCCTCTTTTCGTCCCACCTCCTCCCCCAGCCTCTTTTCGTCCCACCTCCTCCCCCAGCCTCTTTTCGTCCCACCTCCTCCCCCAGCCTCTTTTCGTCCCACCTCCTCCCCCAGCCTCTTTTCGTCCCACCTCCTCCCCCAGCCTCTTTTCGTCCCACCTCCTCCCCCAGCCTCTTTTCGTCCCACCTCCTCCCCAAGCCTCTTTTCGTCCCACCTCCTCCCCAAGCCTCTTTTCGTCCCACTTCCTCCCCCAGCCTCTTTTCGTCCCACCTCCTCCCCAAGCCTCTTTTCGTCCCACCTCCTCCCCAAGCCTCTTTTCGTCCCACCTCCTCCCCCAGCCTCTTTTCGTCCCACCTCCTCCCCCAGCCTCTTTTCGTCCCACCTCCTCCCCCAGCCTCTTTTCGTCCCACCTCCTCCCCCAGCCTCTTTTCGTCCCACCTCCTCCCCAAGCCTCTTTTCGTCCCACCTCCTCCCCAAGCCTCTTTTCGTCCCACCTCCTCCCCCAGCCTCTTTTCGTCCCACCTCCTCCCCCAGCCTCTTTTCGTCCCACCTCCTCCCCCAGCCTCTTTTCGTCCCACCTCCTCCCCCAGCCTCTTTTCGTCCCACCTCCTCCCCAAGCCTCTTTTCGTCCCACCTCCTCCCCCAGCCTCTTTTCGTCCCACCTCCTCCCCCAGCCTCTTTTCGTCCCGCCTCCTCCCCAAGCCTCTTTTCACCGCACTCCTTCCACCTCGCCTTCCCACGTTCCTGTCATCTCTTCTGCCAGCTGCACGGGACATCTTAGCGAGGAGGTAGCACGGCGGCTGAGAGAGCTCACGGAGGGGGAGAGTCCTTATTGGAGGCGGTGAGGAGGAGAAAACGAACGAGAGGTTACCCCAGGATATCCTTTGTGCAGGCCAGACCATCCCTCGTCTGCTGTTTCCCCTTTTCCCACTCCCACTTCTTCCCGCTCCCTCGTCCCACCACTCTCCCTGCCACTCATCCTCCCATCCGCTGTGGCAGGTGAAGGGTATCAGCGTAAGTGATGCGGTGGTTTGCTTTCTGAGTCCCAAGCCAGGAGGAAGAGTCAGTTTTTGAGGCGCTTCAAAACCAGTCTTTTCCTTCTCCCCCCTCCCGTACTCCTCCCCTCACCCTCCCTGCCACTCATCCTCCCATCCGCTGTGGCAGGTGAAGGGAGCATCAGAGCGAGTGAAGCGGTGGTTTTTGAGACCCAGCCAAGAGGAGGAGGAGGAGATTCGAAGGAGACTGGGTGGGGAGGAGAGGAAGTAGGGCAAAGCGATAGCTGAGAGGAAGTAGGGCAAAGCGATAGCTGAGAGGAAGTAGGGCAAAGCGATAGCCAGGTGTCTTATTCTGTGTACACGGTGTTGAGACTTCACACGGCACCACTTGTCAAGCAACTCAAGTAGCTATCGGCCTCCTCTGAGCGTTCCATGCCTGGCACAACCGATTGCAGAGCCAATCGCACAAGCCTATGACACGTCGAAGACACACTGTGTGATCTCTTGTACATTCGCTATCCGTGTAACACGGGGCTGATACACCGTGATTTTTCATTCCACTGCCTTTGGGTGCGCAATGGTACAAATTCAATGCCCCGTCTCTTCTTATGAGTAGGCTCACTCTTTACACAGAGGCCTTTCACAATTGCAGGGTTGCTGCTGCATACTGGACATCTCAACAACATTCTGTACAATCTCACTAAAGCCCGACAACATATCGTACTGTTGTTCCTCGGGAAGACAAGGCAATGCCAGAACTTGCTTTTGCCCCAAATGCTGCTCGGGGAAACATTGCTGTACAGCTTTGAAACAGCCCAAGGGGCTTGCACAGCACAGCACAGCACAGCAGTGAGTGGCAACGCACACCACCACATGCCCCACATGCCTGCTTCTCCGCCTGCTGTGATGGCACCATCCATGGCAGCCACACAATGCTGGGGTGGCTTCACGTGTTTTGTGAGAGGAGCAGTTGGAAGGATTGGTGTGAGTCAGTGGTGATACTTCTCGCCCTTGAGAATGGTCCATGCCCTGCCAGTACAGCAGGGGAAGTGGGCAAGTGTGATGCGCATCAAGGCACGCACGTTGCTGTTGGCTCTACATCCCCCTCCTACCCCACCCTTCTCTTCCCTTCTCCTACCCCACCCTTCTCTTCCCTTCTCCTACCCCACCCATCTCTTCCCTTCTCCTACCCCACCCTTCTCTTCCCTTCTCCTACCCCACCCATCTCTTCCCTTCTCCTACCCCACCCTTCTCTTCCCTTCTCCTACCCCACCCATCTCTTCCCTTCTCCTACCCCACCCTTCTCTTCCCTTCTCCTACCCCACCCATCTCTTCCCTTCTCCTACCCCACCCTTCTCTTCCCTTCTCCTACCCCACCCATCTCTTCCCTTCTCCTACCCCACCCTTCTCTTCCCTTCTCCTACCCCACCCATCTCTTCCCTTCTCCTACCCCACCCTTCTCTTCCCTTCTCCTACCCCACCCATCTCTTCCCTTCTCCTACCCCACCCTTCTCTTCCCTTCTCCTACCCCACCCATCTCTTCCCCCCTCCTAACCACCCCTCTCTTCCCCCCCACACACACCCCACCTCCTACCCATGCATCACACTCACCGGTACAGCTGCTCTGCCAGCACCACGAGCGCCACCTCGTGGTTGAGCACCAATGAGGAGAGTCGCATGCTGCTGTTGGCCCGAGCTGTCACCTGCGACCCGTGGCCGTAGGGGCCCCCCACCACGAATGTCAGCGAGCGGTGCGACTGGTGAGGCACAGGAGGGGCGGGAAGGGTACGCGGGGCAGTATGGAGGGATGAGGGGAAGGGCGGCATAAGCTGCTCGGCACCTGTGACTCGTGGACCCCCCACCACGAATGTCAGCGCGCAGTGGGGCTGGTGGGGCAAGAGAGGGAGGGAGGGACGGACGGACGGACTCAAAGGAACAAGGCCAGAAAAGCATGGTGGGGTGGGGGGTTTGCAGTGCAGTTGATGCACTGTGGTGCATGGGTGCACGCACGGGCATGGGCGCATTGCGTATGGTTGGATACATGGATGCATGGATGAACAGGCATCCATGCGTCGTGACATGTACCTTCACAGCACACCATACCACAGCACAGCACACCATACCACAGCACAGCACACCATACCACAGCACAGCTCACCATACCACAGCACAGCACACCATACCACAGCACAGCACACCATACCACAGCACAGCACACCATACCACAGCACAGCACACCATACCACAGCACAGCACACCATACCACAGCACAGCACACCATTACCACAGCACAGCACACCATACCACAGCACAGCACACCATACCACAGCACAGCACACCATACCACAGCACAGCACACCATACCACAGCACAGCACACCATACCACAGCACAGCACACCATACCACAGCACAGCACACCATACCACAGCACAGCACACCATACCACAGCACAGCACACCATACCACAGCACAGCACACCATACCACAGCACAGCACATCTCACCGCATCAGCGCAGTCAGCAATGAGCTGTGCCAGCTGCTCCGACGTCACTGTGCGGCCTCGCTCGTCCAGCAGCACCACCTGGCAGGGCGGGGGGGATGAGAAGCACCGCCAGGACGGGGGGGGGCGCGGCTGATGCTACAGGTACACACACTTTGGGCCATTCAAGCATTGAGGTTCATGGCTGTGATGTCACTGTGCGGCCTCGCTCCTCCAGCAGCACCACCTAAAAGGGAGAGGGGCGGTGAGCAGGAGGGGGGTGGCGGAGCAGGAGGGATTCAACATCACAAGCGGAAGCGGGGGAGGGGGCCGGGCAGTACGCTCATAGTAACAAAAAAAAAGGCGTTTTTTTTTTTTTTTTTTTTTTTTTTACCCGTAAAAAACGGGATTACATAATTGGTCGTTAAAAGGGGTTTCAGGAGGTGTTTTCTGTCTTATTAAAACAGTATCGAAAAAAGCGACCGGTTAATGGGAGCACATTGATGGCGAAATTCAGCAGGATGAAGAGGACGGACCCTTCTTTGTGACCGTTTGAGGGGAAGATTGAAAACGTATCCGGCCGTTGTTTTGAAAATTTACCGTAAAAAACAACTGTATTTTACGGTAAGTTCACGGAAACCGCCTCGGGTATGCTTGCCCGTGGTGCCATGCATTGAAAAGGCGGTGGCAGGTTACAAGGTACAAGAAGCGCCTACCTTTCGAGAATCACAACATGCCCTCTGATGCAAAAACACAGCATGGTTACAAGGTGAAACGGTCACTAGCAGATGTGGTGTGAAGGTGAACGGGGCTCACCCAGTCTGCGGGTTGTAGTGCCTTGAGCACCCTCTCACCCTCTGCTTCCACCTGCACTCGCACGTCACTGCCTACCAGCAACAGCAGTAGCAGTGGGAGACGTGTAGCAAATAGAGTCATAAACGAAGGTATTAAACAAGGGCGACCGCGAACACAGCGTGAGAAGGCATGCAGGATCAGCGCGGAGCAGCACTTACTGAGTTTCACGGTTCACCTCCCCATACCGAAACCACGCCTCCCACCTGGTGCCCTTGGGATTGGAGCGCACAGGCAGGTCCTCAAACGGGCAGTAGCGGGAAATCTTTTCGGCGTAATCCTTTACTAGCAGCTGTGTGCCGTGCGAGCGGTTCTTGCCCACGGATATCACACGCACTGGCAGGCGTCGCTGGGAGGGGCGGATGTAACGGGGGAGGGGAAGAGACGGAGCAGAGGAGTGAGGCAGAGGCGAGAGGGTGGAGGAGAGCTCACAAGCAGCTGTGTTCCCTGCGAGCCGTGCCTGCCCACTGATATCACACACACTGGCAGGCGGCGCTGTGAGGGAAGGTGAGAGGGGGGTGGGGAGGGGGTTGAACGTGCAGGGGAAGAGAGGTAGAGAGGTGCTGACCCACCAATACCATGCTCTCTGGCAGGCGAAGCTGGGAGGGGGGAATGAAACGGACGAGGGAGGGGAAGAGGGAAGATGAGAGAGGGAAGAGTGGAGAGGGAAGGGGGGTGTGGAGAAGGGAGTGCGGAGAGGACAGGTCAAGACCAGCTGTGTGCCGGCCCACCGATACCATGCGCACTGGCAGCCCGCTGTAACAGGACAGAATTCACCATGCGAGATGCACTTGAATTTCTGAACGGGGTGCTGCCTAGCTAGCTACGAACAGCACCACTTGCTAGCCTAGAGCACACTCCCGTATTCCTGTCAGGCAGTATAGTACAGCAAGGCATGGCATCGAGGCGCCATGCTATGCCAAGATGCCGTGCTAGATGAAGTGGCGACGCGGTTTCCTCCCAAGTAGCCATCCCTTCTTCGTAGCATAAATATCAATCTCTGAATCTTGTATCATCTTATCCTTGGATCGTCTAATCTAATCCTTGAATCTACTTCTTGATTCTTCTATCATCGACGTCTCCGCTAGGCTTCTCTCTCGGCCTAGATTCCTCTATTCCGCTGCGTCAGACTCTTCTCTTTCATCTCTTCGCTACGGCGCTCTCCTTAGTCGCCATGGCCGGCCAGGCCAGCCGCGCCGTGCGGACTGCGCCATAGCCTTGTTTCACCGGCACTGGGAGGGGGTAATCACGGGGGACTGTAATGGAAGAGAGGGGGAAGAGCGGGGGAGAGGGGGAGTGGGGAGTGGGCGGGGGGTATGTGACGAGCAGCCGTGTGCCCTACGATCTATACCTGCCGACTGATATCACACGCACTGGCAGGTGGCGCTGGGAGGGGAAAGGAAGGTGGGTGCGCAACAGGGAACGGGAGCGGGGGAGGGAGCAGGAGGCCAGATCACAAGCACTTGTGAGAATGGCAGCAATGGGAAATGGGGGAGGGGGAGGGGTGTGGGGTGGAGGGGTGGAGCAGGTGCGCGTGGCGTGGCAGGGAGGCTTGCCTGGCAGGGAGGCTTGCCTGGCAGGGAGGCTTGCCTGGCAGGGAGGCTTGCCTGGCAGGGACGCTTGCCTGGCAGGGAGGCTTGCCTGGCAGGGAGGCTTGCCTGGCAGGGAGGCTTGCCTGGCAGGGAGGCTTGCCTGGCAGGGAGGCTTGCCTGGCAGGGAGGCTTGCATGGCAGGGAGGCTTGCCTGGCAGGGAGGCTTGCCTGGCAGGGAGGCTTGCCTGGCAGGGAGGCTTGCCTGGCAGGGAGGCTTGCCTGGCAGGGAGGCTTGCCTGGCAGGGAGGCTTGCATGGCAGGGAGGCTTGCCTGGCAGGGAGGCTTGCCTGGCAGGGAGGCTTGCCTGGCAGGGAGGCTTGCCTGGCAGGGAGGCTTGCCTGGCAGGGAGGCTTGCCTGGCAGGGAGGCTTGCCTGGCAGGGAGGCTTGCCTGGCAGGGACGCTTGCCTGGCACGACTGGCGGGCGGACGAGAAGGCACGGCGAGGGAGGGGGAGCAGCAGGGCGGTGAGGATGGGGCGGTTGAGGGAAGGAGGGGGGCAGGGGACGGTGGGCGCGGCTTGGGGCGTTACGGTGAGACTGTTTGTGGGGGGAGGAGGAGGTAGAAGGGGAGGAGGAGCGAGGAGGGAATGAAGGCGAGCGCGATGGGAAGTGGGCGCTTGTGTGATGGAATGGAATCGGAGACGTCGAAAGGGGATGAAGGGAGAATGCATGGAAGGATGAGGAGGAGGTGAGCGAAGAGGAGCGGCGAGGGAGGAGGAGCGGCGAGGGAGGAGGAGCGGACAAATCATCCCCGCCACCGAATTAACGGACAACACTTGGCGTCAGAGCCTCGTCAGGGTTTTCATCTCCTAAGGCACATCGTCACCACCGCTGCCGCATGGGAAGAGCCGCGTGGCGGCGACACGCCGGGAGAGAGCGTCGGCAATCCCAATGGCTGAACTACAGCGACTCACAATGGCCTGACGGCATCGTATTGGCGCCTGCACGCGCGCCGTCGATCTGAGAGGCGCTACAGCCCATGGCGTGGGCGGCGACGGCGATAGCGACGATAGCGAGGATTGCGACGATAGCGAGGATTGCGACGACGGTGTTGTCGGCACGCGCGGTACAGCTTGCGGCGACGGCTGTCGCAAGCACTGCTGTGCAGGCGCCGCTGCTAGGCGCCGCAATTCAATCGCTCGCAGGGTGGGTGCTGGTCTTTGGGTTTTGCACACGGTGCGGGCGGTGGGATCTGCGATCCCTCCGACGGGCGGCAGTCGCACAGCCATCGTAGTCGTGGAGGCTGAAAGTCCGTTTCTCTGGCTAATTCAACACTTGCACGAGAAAATTGAGCAGTGTGGGTAAGGGCTGAACAAAAGAAAATCTGATTTTATGAACAGCACTGAAGTTTCTTGTGCTGAGGATGAGAGTGCGCAGTACCGCCAGCAAGCTTGCGCGCATATTTCTGCGTTCGTTTTGCAATGTGAAACACATCCTAGCTTCCAGCACTGCCTCATCCGAAGCTGCAGCACTTGTGTACTACGCTTTCGGTTTTGCGCGGAACTGAGCATTCACGGGGGCTGGGAACGCGCCCTTCACGACTGTTCCTGCCAAGAGTACCCAACAGTGCACCGTTACCATTCGCGACACTCGCCTCGACCACTGTTCCCGCCACTGTTCACGACGCGACCCAACCTCACGGCTCGGTTGGTAATCTGCGCTTAGGACCTCCCCCTCGATGTTTCCCAACCTCGGCGCTAGACCCGTAGCGCACCCCATTTTCCCACATTACCGTTACCACGCTAGCTTCGTTATATAATCTTCGCTCATTCCTTCGCTCCATGTACTGTTTTGTTTCGATAGTGCAATTCTCGCTCGCTCGCTCAATTGCATTCGTAATAATTGGTATTTAGAGCCTACGATCTCTTCTCGGACCGCACCCACACCTTCGTTTTCCCCACTATCTCAAATTTTGGAAGGGGTAGACGTCTCTCAGCGACCAAGCACCGCTGCCCGTGTGCCTTCTCGTAAGCACACTCAGCCACGACTGAGGCTCTCGGTGAGCTCGCCCGACACCCCCGCCATGGCAATATTCAATCTCGCAACATTGACGCAAGAGCGCCTCGACCAACTCGTGCGCCAGCTCGAGGAATCGACGCTCGAAATCGCGACGCTCATGGCGAAACGCGGCTCCCTCGACAGCAATTAACGGTGAATGCACAAGCACCAGCATCCGCAAATGCACATGCACAATCGGAAGAGCCGATTATCATTTCATCCGGCACACCGTCGCAGCACGACAGCGTGGGACAGCGCTCTGGCGCAGCCAGCGACGCCACCGCCCAATCTATGCCGGGCATGGAGAGAGAGCCAGGACAGCACCGGACGTGAATGAATCTCGCAAAGCTTGCCAACACATCGGATTCGCCGCATCTTTAGGCAACGATGACATTGGTGAGCCGATGCCCCTCAACCCATAACGTCCGCCCTGCTTCGATCCTAGCCAGCGTAGAGGTCCGACGGTTCAATCGTGAGTCTTTACGATGAACACGTTTTTTTACGCGAATTACGTCATGTCGGATGCAGTGAAGATCAGGTACGCCGTGTCATTACTGCGGAGCCCCACCATGGACTGGTGGCGAGTCATCGTGACGTCGCCGCGCGCCTACGAGCCACTGTCGCATGAGGAAGGGCCCGCGGGTCCAGTTGTCACCTGGAGTTCGTTCTGCGAAACCGCCCAATACTGCACGTGGGACGAGTTGTGAGGATCTAGGATCGAGATCAGAAAAGAGAATTGTAATTGAAATGATCACCTGGGTACAACACGAGGCTATATATAGGCTCGACACAAGGCCCCGTAACCAGGTGTTACGCGAAGGTTCCGCGGGTCGCGAAGCGTCCCGAACAGATCCTTCCCGAATTCGGTAGAAGGCAATTCGGTGGCAACCGAAAAGCCAGAATTCGGTGCACGCAACCTAGCTCGGTGCTATAACTATAATAAAATATAGGAAAGCACCTAGCCTAGGAAATCAAGCAATTCATGCATGCATATAATTATCCTATGCTAGAAATAGCATGCTAAAGTAAAGGCAAGCAAGCATAGCTAGCACAAGCCGTCGTACTCTCACACGTCCCCGCCTCAAAGCTGGGTGGCGTGAGATACACCCTGCTTGACAAGATAGTCCTTGAGAGCACGGCGTGCGTTGCCCATATCAGCTTCTGCAACCCAACTGTCCTCAGTGGGGTCGTATCCCTTCCAGCGTATCAGGAACTCGAGGGTCTTGCCGCCGCGGCGCCGATGAGTGAGAACGCGCTCCACTTCGTACTCTGGTTCATCCTGTACGAGAACAGGTGGTGGTGGCGGTAGCTGCCGTCCCTGGAACTGTTGGTTGGGGTCCTTGTAGGGCTTCAGTAGCTGGACATGGAAAGCGTTGTGAAGCTTCCATGTATCTGGTAAGCGCAAGCGGAATGTAACTGGTGTCACCTGTGCCTCAACGAGAAAAGGACCACAGAAGCGAGGCCGGAGTTTGGATGGTAGGTGAGACATGTTCAAGTTGCGCGTGTCAAGAAGCACCTGATCTCCGACTGCTACTGAGTGATCACGTCGCTGACGATCGGCATACTGCTTCTGGGAGTTCTGCATCGTGGTGAGACGTCGCTGAGTCTTCTCCCATAGCTGCTGCATGGTGGTGACGAAATCATGTGCGGCTTGGACGTGTGCCGGTGTGGTTGGCTGCTATGGTGTGAGTGGTTCCCGTCCGTAACACAGGAAGAAAGGAGTTTTCCTTGTGGCCGCATGTGACGCGTTGTTGTAAGCGAACTCTAGGGTCGGTAACTGTGTGTCCCAGTGGCTGACGTCGTCCTTGCAAGCTGTGCGCAGTAACTGTTCAACCACTTGATTGAGTCGCTCTGTCTGTCCGTCAGTCTGTGGGTGGTATGCTGAGGACATCGCAAGTTTAGTCCCCAATAATCCCATGAGCTCCTTCCAGAACTTACTCGTGAATTTGGGGTCTCTGTCTGAGATGAGTGTAGCGGGGATGCCGTGGATGGTGATGATGCGGTCGAAGAAGAGGCGAGCAGTTGCTTCAGCTGTAGCTGTGGCGTTGGTCGGGATGAAGTGACCCATTTTGGAGAACTTATTGATGACTACGAGGATGGAATCATGTCCCCGTGAGGTCGAGGGAAGTCCTGTGATGAAGTCGAGGCTAACGACCTGCCATGGCTGCTCCGGTACAGGTAGAGGCTGAAGTAACCCTGCTTTTTTCTGCTTGCTACTCTTCATCCGCTGGCACGTCTCGCAAGAGGTGACGAACTGCTGCACGTCTGCTGCCATCCCGGGCCAGTAGTAATACTTTGCTATCCCTGCTAACGTCTTGTTGCTCCCGAAATGTCCCGCGTAAGGTACGTCGTGAAACTCCTCCAATAGGATCTGCCGTAGCGGGGCGTAATTCGGTACCCAAATCTTTCCTGAACCCTTCCTTACAGCTAAGTCTTTCTCCCACTGTAACAGCTTCTTGGTCTGTGGTGTAGCGATCTCTGCGTCCACGGAGTACCCATGTTGGAATAGACCCTTGAGCAGAGGGTTCATCTCGTTGAGCTGGATGCCTGCTACATGTCCTGGGCGGCTCAACGCGTCTGATTTGTTGTGTAGCCCGGGCTTGTAGACGATGTCGTAGTGGAAGTGAGTTTCCAGGAAGTCCACCCACCGCACCTGTCGTCGTGAGAGCGTCGGCTGTGACTTCAGGTATTTGAGACTGCAGTGGTCAGTATAGACTGTAGTCTTGGTTCCCTCTAGGTAACACCTCCACGCCTTGAAGGCTATGACTATCGCTAAGGCTTCCTTGTCATGGATGGGGTAGTTCAGTTCTGCTCCGTGTAGCTTCTTACTGAGGTAGGCGATAGGCTGCAAACCGCGTCCGTGATCCTGCATCAGTACTGCTCCGACTGCCTGGTCACTAGCGTCTGCTTCCACCACGTAGTCCTTGTCTGGATCTGGTAAGATGAGTACTGGCGCTGTAGTCAGTGCTGTCTGTAGCTGCTCCATGGCTTGCTGATGAGGAGTATCCCATTTGTAGGGCGTATCCTTTTTCAGTAGGTCGGTCAGTGGCGCTGCTATCTTAGCATACTGCGGCACGAACCTGTTGTAGTAGTTGGCGAAGCCTAGGAACTGTGGCAACTCCTTCACGTTCTCCGGTACTTTCCACTTCTTGACGGCTTCGATCTTCCGCGGGTCCACGTGTACGCCCTCGGCACTCACCATGTGCCCGAGAAACTGCACCTTCTTCAGGGCGAAGTCGCTCTTCGACAGCTTCACGTAGAATTTGTTTTTCCGCAGGATCTCGAACACCTTCCGCAGATGCTCCACGTGCTCCTTCATGTTCTTGGAGTAGATGAAAATATCGTCCAGGTACACCACCACGCACTAGTCCAGCAGGGGCCGTAAGATGTGATTCATCTCCGCCTGAAACGTTGCTGGTGCGTTGCAGAGTCCGAACGGCATCACCAAGTATTCGTAGGAGCCGTATCTGGTACGGAACGCCGTCTTGTGGACTGAGTTGTCTGCCATCTTGATCTGCCAGTAACCCGACCGTACGTCCAGCTTCGAGAAGACTGTTGCACCACGCAGTTGATCCAGTAGGTCGTCTATGCGCGGTATGGGGTATTTGTTTTTAACTGTCTGTTTGTTCAGTGCGCGGTAGTCGATGCACATCCGTAAACTGCCGTCTGGTTTTGGAGTGAAGAGGACTGGTGCACCGTAGGGAGAGGTGGATGGGCGGATCAGTTGTCTGTCCAGTAGATACTCTATCTGTTTCTTCATGTCTGTCAGTTCGGTCGGTCTCAGTCGGTATGGTGCACGTGAGACGGGTTTCGCACCTGGTTCCTCCACGATCTCATGCTCGTGGGTGCGTGCTGGAGGTACGCCTGCGGGTAGGTCGTCGGGCATTATATCTTTGTACTGCTCCAAGACTGAATAGATCATCCCTCGGTCCTGCGCTCGAAGCTGTTGACTCCATATCAGTTTTCAACTGAGTAGGGGTAGA